TTCTCAGGACAGTGCAGGTAAACAAACAATGTACCTAGACAGTGCAGGTATACAAACAATGTACTGACAGTGTAGGTAAACAAACAATGTACCTATAGACAGTGCAGGTATACAAACAATGTACCTAGACAGTGCAGGTATACAAACAATGTACCTAGACAGTGCAGGTATACAAACAATTACCTAGACAGTGTAGGTATACAAACAATGTACCTAGACAGTGTAGGTATACAAACAATGTACCTAGACAGTGTAGGTATACAAACAATGTACCTAGACAGTGCAGGTATACAAACAATGTACCTAGACAGTGTAGGTATACAAACAATGTACCTAGACAGTGTAGGTATACAAACAATGTACCTAGACAGTGTAGGTATACAAACAATGTACCTAGACAGTGCAGGTATACAAACAATGTACCTAGACAGTGTAGGTATACAAACAATGTACCTAGACAGTGTAGGCACAAACAATGTACCTAGACAGTGTAGGTATACAAACAATGTACCTAGACAGTGCAGGTATACAAACAATGTACCTAGACAGTGTAGGTAAACAAACAATGTACCTAGACAGTAGGTATACAAAACAATGTACCTAGACAGTGCAGGTAAACAAACAATGTACCTAGACAGTGTAGGTATACAAACAATGTACCTAGACAGTGTAGGTAAACAAACAATGTACCTAGACAGTGCAGGTAAAACAAACAATGTACCTAGACAGTGCAGGTAAACAAACAATGTACCTAGACAGTGCAGGTATACAAACAATGTACCTAGACAGTGCAGGTATACAAACAATGTACCTAGACACAGTGTAGGTATACAAACAATGTACCTAGACAGTGCAGGTATACAAACAATGTACCTAGACAGTGTAGGTAAAACAAACAATGTACCTAGACAGTGCAGGTAAAACAAAACAATGTACCTAGACAGTGTAGGTAAACAAACAATGTACCTAGACAGTGCAGGTAAACAAACAATGTACCTTAGACAGTGCAGGTATACAAACAATGTACCTAGACAAAGTGTAGGTATACAAACAATGTACCTAGACAGTGCAGGTAAAACAAACAATGTACCTAGACAGTGCAGGTAAACAAACAATGTACCTAGACAGTGCAGGTATACAAACAATGTACCTAGACAGCAGGTAAACAAACAATGTACCTAGACAGTGCAGGTAAACAAACAATGTACCTAGACAGTGCAGGTAAACAAACAATGTAACAGACAGTGCAGGTAAACAAACAATGTACCTAGACAGTGCAGGTATACAAACAATGTACCTAGACAGTGCAGGTATACAAACAATGTAACTAGACAGTGTAGGTATACAAACAATGTACTAGACAGTGCAGGTAAACAAACAATGTACCTAGACAGTGCAGGTATACAAACAATGTACCTAGACAGTGCAGGTATACAAACAATGTACCTAGACAGTGCAGGTAAACAAACAATGGCCTAGACAGTGCAGGTATACAAACAATGTACCTAGACAGTGCAGGTATACAAACAATGTACCTAGACAGTGCAGTATACAAACAATGTACTCCAGATGAAAGTGCAGGTAAACAAACAATGTACCTAGACAGTGCAGGTATACAAACAATGTACCTAGACAGTGCAGGTAAACAAACAATGTACCTAGACAGCAGGTATACAAACAATGTACCTAGACAGTGCAGGTAAAACAAACAATGTGCCCTAGACAAAGTGGTAAACAAACAACAATGTACCTAGACAGTGCAGGTAAACAAACAATGTACCTAGACAGCAGGTAAACAAACAATGTACCTAGACAGTGCAGGTATACAAACATTGTACCTAGACAGTGTAAGTATACAAACAATGTACCTAGACAGTGGAGGTATACAAACAATGTGCCTAGACAGTGCAGGTATACAAACAATGTACCTAGACAGTGGAGGTATACAAACAATGTACCTAGACAGTGCAGGTATACAAACAATGTACCTAGACAGTGAAGGCATACAAACAATGTACCTAGACAGTGTAAGTATACAAACAATGTACCTAGACAGTGGAGGTATACAAACAATGTGCCTAGACAGTGCAGGTATACAAACAATGTACCTAGACAGTGCAGGTATACAAACAATGTACCTAGACAGTGCAGGTATACAAACAATGTACCTAGACAGTGTAGGTATACAAACAATGTACCTAGACAGTGCAGGTAAACCGACAATGTTACCGTTGGTTTGGTAAAACAAACAATGTACCTAGACGATTGCAGGTAGCCGACAATATGCCTAGACAGTGCCAGGTAAACGACAATGTGCACCTGAACGGTGTGGGTATACAAACAATGTACCCTGAACAATTGTGGTTATACAAACAATGTACCTAGACAGTGCAGGTATACAAACAATGTACCTAGACAGTGTAGGTAAACAAACAATGTACCTAGACAGTGTAGGTATACAAACAATGTACCTAGACAGTGCAGGTAAACAAACAATGTACCTAGACAGTGCAGGTATACAAACAATGTACCTAGACAGTGCAGGTATACAAACAATGTACCTAGACAGTGCAGGTATACAAACAATGTACCTAGACAGTGTAGGTAAACAAACAATGTACCTAGACAGTGTAGGTATACAAACAATGTACCTAGACAGTGCAGGTAAACAAACAATGTACCTAGACAGTGCAGGTATACAAACAATGTACCTAGACAGTGCAGGTAAACAAACAATGTACCTAGACAGTGTAGGTAAACAAACAATGTACCTAGACATGGGTTGTCAACAAAGCCCCAAGTGTTTATTACCATTAAGGTCTCATAACCTCCGTGAATATGACAGAGCAGATGCTTGAGATAAACTCACTACCGTATATCTAACAAGGTACGTAGGTGGGTGTGTGTGTGTGTGTGTGTTAACAAGAATGAATACGACATGAGAGAGAGACCGACATTGTTCATACCACAACGACTGTACAAAAATGAACCTTTCGAGGAACAAGATACCCGGGGCAGAGCAGTAGTGTGTCTCGGGTTCATAAGTGAGTTCCGTCTTGATCTATGTAACGTGTGGCTTTACTGATAAAAACACATTACACTCAACACCATAAGAACATGACCCAGCCAGTCCTCACAGATCTTACACTCTCGGACTTATACACAAAGATTATCTGTTAGTCATCCCCACACTAGTGTTAAGAGAGCGTATATAGTGTAAACAGTATCAGTGTAATTCCGATACCATTTTACACGTAATCATTTTGTTCTGGCTAAAGATAGCCGCTTACAAACGTTCTTAACATCTTCAGTTACAAGAAAACTTAAGCGTAAGATCATGTGAGTGTACTGACCCAGCACTATCGTGAGCCTGGGGCCAACATACCCTCCCAGTATTATAAACATGCATGACGGCTTTCCCTCTTCACTGCACAACACCAACTGCTTCAATATTTTCGTTCGGCAGAACAAAAAAGCCTGGGCGAAGATATGAAAGGTTGCGTCACTGGCCGGCCGCACAACATACACGACCAGACACTCCGCCACCACCTTCACAACAGCTGATTCCTGCTGGTCGGTAAATGACGTGTGGACCGCGCGTCGAGGACCTGGTCATACCTTAGCCCCTACCAGAGGCCTGGGCACCTTGGGCTGCGGGAATGACACGCCAAAATAATAGATTCCATAAAGAAGCTTCCCAGATATGTGGATATTACCGGCGCCATCTGTTGCTGAGGTTTTTTTCCTCGGCGCCAAGACGCCATCACCCGCCAGTACAATATGTTAGAGTTCACTGCATGGCAGAGAGGAAGATCTACCTAGGTCTTAGGGAACATTATATTCTCACACACACACACACTCACACACACGCGCTCACACACGCGCGCGCCAGCGGACATGCACGCACGCACGCACGCGCGCACGTACGCACAAACAAGCACACTCCAATGCGTCAAGAAGTGGCAGGCAAACCCACTATGTAGGGATTGTAGGGTGGCTCTGGTATTCTACGGCGCACTGAAAGGCAACACCGACGGCCGACGCATGTGTGAGAGAGAGAGAGAGAGAGAGAGAGAGAGAGAGAGAGATTATAAAAATGCAAATGAGCGGATTGGTCTACAGTTGTGTGAGTACGGACAGTCACTCTCAACTACAGTATACTGTAGGTGCAGGAGGCGGTGGTGATGATGGAGGCGGTGGTGATGATGGTGGCGGTGATGATGGTGGTGGTGATGGCGATGGTGGTAGTGGTGGTAGTGGCGGTGATGGTGGTAATGGTGTTGGTAATGGTGTTGGCAATAGTGGTAATGGTGATGATGGTGGCGGTAACCACAGGCGGGGTTTTACGACAACGGAGACTCACGTATAATGTGGTCCAATATTTAACGAGGTGGAGGGAGGCTGTGTGTACCTGATGCTATATATAGAGGCCGGGTCAGTGATGTGGGTGGGGGCCAGCGTCTAGGTTCATGGTACAGCCGCGGTTCATGGTACAGCCGCGGTTCATGGTACAGCCGCGGTTCATGGTACAGCCGCGGTTCATGGTACAGCCGTGGTTCATGGTACAGCCGCGGTTCATGGTACAGCCGTGGTTCATCTATTAGTACCACTGTGGTTCATCTATTAGTACCACTGTGGTTCATCTATTAGTACCACTGTAGTTCATCTATTAGTACCACTGTGGTTCATCTATCAGTACCACTGTGGTTCATCTATTAGTACCACTGTGGTTCATCTATTAGTACCACTGTGGTTCATCTGTCTTTCTCTACGTGAGATAGGGAAGGAAAGCAGCAGTCTGCTCCACCTACTAAGCAGTATTTGACAGAGGTTAGGTTAGTTTAGGTTAGGTTAGGTTAGGTTAGGTTAGGTTTGAGCTGAATAAAATATAAACTAATGGTGCCCTCGTAGTGAAAGGGTTAAGTTAATTGGGGTTAAGTTAAGTCTCATTTGGTTAAGTTTAGATTAATTATCTTTCAATAACTTTAAATTGGGGGAAGTTCATCAAGTGATTACCTCCAAATTATCACCTGGAGGATACAGTGTAGGCTGCTGGAGACCACCACCTCCAGGGCGCCTCCACCTACGACACCACCACCTCCAGGGCGCCTCCACCTACGACACCACCACCTCCAGGGCGCCTCCACCTACGACACCACCGCCTCCAGGGCACCCTCCACCTATAACACCACCTCCAGGGCGCCTCCACCTGCCACCACAACATCAGGGCGCCTCCACCTGCGACACCACACAACATCCCGGGGCGCCTCCACCTACGACACCACAACATCCAGGGGCGCCTCCACCTGCGACACCACAACATCCCAGGGCGCCTCCACCCTGACACCACAACATCCAGGGAGCGCCTCCACCTGCGACACCACAACATCCAGGGCACTCCACCTGCGACACCACAACAACCAGGGGCGCCTCCACCTACGACACCACAGCATCCAGGGGCGCCTCCACCGAGCACCCTACAACATCCGGGCGCCTCACTACGACACCACAACATCAGGCGCCTCCACCTGCGTACCGACATCAGGGCGCCTCCACCACGACACCACGACATCCAGGGCGCCTCCACCTGCGACACCACAACATCAGGGCGCACTCACCAGCACGGGCGCCTCCTACGACACCACAACATCCGGGGCGCCTCCACCACGACACCACAACATCCGACGCCTCACCTACGACACCACAACGCATCCTGGGCGCACGTCCACCCACGACACCAACTTGCCCAGGGCGCCTCCACCCACGACACCCACAACTTTCAGGGCGCCTCCACCTGGCTACCACAACATCAGGGCGCCTCTACTGCACCACGACACCAAAACATCAGGGCGCCTCCACCTGTTTCTGCAACATCAGGGCGCCTCCACCTGCACGACACCACAACATCAGGGCGCCTCCACCTACCTTTCCCACAACATCCAGGGCGCCTCCACCTACGACACCACAACATCCAGGGCGCCTCCATCCACGACACCACAACATCCAGGGCGCCTCCACCTACGACACCACAACATCCAGGGCGCCTCCACCACCACATGACCTGGCGCAACCTCAGGTAATTGTTGGTAATGCTCAGTGATTGGTGCGGTGTAACGTAATCTACATAACCTAGTGGCTGTGACTGCTGCTCTCTCTCTCTCTCTCTCTCTCTCTCTCTCTCTCTCTCTCTCTCTCTCTCTCTCTCTCTCAGTGGCTTCGTGGTGGTGACAGGTAATATGGACTATATTTCTCTATACCTTCCTCTGATTCTTCATTTGAGAGAGAGAGAAAGAGAGACTATCCTGACGTCACAGCTACACTAAATGAAAGAGACTCAACAACAGGTACGACCCGAGTCAATGAACCGTAACGTAATGATAATTTCTGTACTAGCCCGAGTCACCTGGTGGGCTGACCTCACGTAATGATAACACTACTACTACTATTAATAATAATATTACTAATAATAACACCAATAACATTACTAATAATAATAACAACAAAAACATTACCACTAAAAATAAAAAAAAATAAAAAAATAAATAATAAAAATAATAATAATAATAATAATAATAATAATAATGATAATAATAATAATAATAATAATAATAATAAAAATAATAAAAATAATAATAATAATAATAATAATAATAATAATAATAATAATAATACTGTACTCATCATCACACAGTTAAACCCCACAAAACAATAACAACAGCAACAACAACAGTTCACATTCCAGAAGTGGCTCCAGAGTTAACATACATAGAGGAACTGACGCAATAACAGGTGAAATGCTGCAGCAAATATTTATGCGAAGTGTCGTGTGGTTGACCCCTAGTGTACTACACCTGTGGGGAGGGTACACACACAACCTGGTCGATGGTACACATGGTACACCTCAAGAGTACCCACTAATTCCTGTGATACTCTGGCATGTGACGGGTACACACAGCCACTTCCACTCACTGCTGACCTTCTGGTGTGGTTTAAACCCTCTGGGTACAATGGTTTTAACCCTCTGGGAACGATGGTTTAACCCTCTGGGGACAATGGTTTAATCCTCTGAGGACGATGGTTTAACCCTCTGGGGATGATGGTCTAACCCTCTGGGACGATGGTTTAACCCTCTGGGGACGATGGTTTAACCCTCTGGGATGATGATTTTTCCCTCTGAGGTTGATGGTTTAACCCTCTGGGGACAATGGTTTTAACCCTCTGGGGACGATGGCTTAACCCTCTGGGGACAATGGTTTTAACCCTCTGGGGACAATGGTTTTAACCCTCTGGGGACGATGGCTTAACCCTCTGGGGACAATGGTTTTAACCCTCTGGGGACAATGGTTTTAACCCTCTGGGGACGATGGCTTAACCCTCTGGGGACAATGGTTTAATCCTCTGAGGACGATGGTTTAACCCTCTGGGGATGATGGTCTAACCCTCTGGGACGATTGTTTAACCCGCTGGGGACGATGGTTTAACCCTCTGTGGATGATGATTTTCAACCCTCTGAGGTTGATGGTTTAACCCTCTGGGGACAATGGTTTTAACCCTCTGGGGACGATGGTTTAACCCTCCGGGGACAATGGTTTTAACTCTCTGGGGACGATGGTTTTAACCCTCAGAGGACAATGGTTTAATCCTCTGAGGACGATGGTTTAACCCTCTGGGGACGATGGTTTAACCCTCTGGGGACGATGGTTTAACTTTCTGGGAACGATGGCTTAACCCTCTGGGGACAATGGTTTTAACCCTTTGGGGATAATGGTTTTAACCCTCTGGGGACGATGGACACAACCCTCTGGGGACGATGGTTTAACCCTCCTGGGAACGATGGCTTGCCTCTGGGGACAATGGTTTTCACCCAACCCTCTGGGGAGACGATGGTAGCCCTCTAGGGCGATGGTTTGGCCCTCTGAGGACGATGGTTTAACCCTCTGGGGACAGTTTTAACCCTCTGGGGACAATGGTTTAACCCTCTGGGGACAATGGTTTAACCCTCTGGGGACAATGGTTTTAACCCTCTGGGGACGATGGTTTAACCCTCTAAGGACGATGGTTTAACCCCCTGAGGACGATGGTTTAACCGTCTGGGGACGATGGTTTAACCCTCTGAGGACGATGGTTTAACCCTCTGAGGACGATGGTTTAACCCTCTGAGGACGATGGTTTAACCCTCTGAGGATAACGATTTAATCCTTTGAAGGTTAACCCATATTTTTCAACTAGTTAAGCCACCGTCCTCAACGGGTTAAGTAATACGATTTTTGTTTTCAGATTAATATCATCATATTTATGAAACGTTATTAAAATCTAAGTGTACAGTACTGTATTCTGAGGTAAGTTCGTACAGCGAAGTGCCGTAAGGTTACCAAATAGATCAAGGTAGCAATGTAAGAGACCTTGTTACCGCGTTAAGTACCAATCTAGAACAGAGGCACCACACCATTGTAGTAGACTTCAATTAGTATCCATCGCAGCCACCTGGGCACGGGGCAAACTAAGAAAGCAACATGTACTTCCCTCTCTACTGCCCACAAGCAACACCTGACAGTGCCCTGGGTCCGATTCCACAAGGATTCCTACTATGAAATATCTAGCAGTTTGACTTTAGAACACAACACTACACTGAGACTTAACTAGAAACGTTCATTGAGCACAAGTTAGGAGACTAAGTTAACAGGATATTTTGTAAATCCTGATTGGTGGTGTGTAGTGGAAGACTCGGTGTTTGATTGACTGTCATCTGTCTGGCAGAGAAAGACTGTCAGGTCAATGGTTATGGTTAGACTGATGGCTGGGAATGACGCGAGTCGCCTTATGGGAGGAGGAGGAGGAGGAATAGGAGGAAGGTAGGAAGAGGAATAAGAAATAAGAACACGAATAAGGAGAAAAGAGACGGAGGAGGAAGAATAGGATGAGAAGGGTGAGGTAGGAGAGGAGGAAGGAGAGGAGAGGAAGGAGAGGAGGAAGGAGGAGGAGGAAGAGGAAGAAGGAATAAGAAATCAGAATACGAATAAGGAGATGGAAGAGGAGGAGATGGAAGAGTAGAAAGAGGAGGAATGAGAGGAGAAGGAACATGAAGAAATTAGAAATAAGAAACAAGAATACGAATAAGAAGAAAGGAGGAGGAGGAGCCCCGACTACTCCACCTTCGTGTCGCCACAACAACAGGTTTTTTCCAGCTTTTACCACAGCAACAACCATGACCACCACAGCAGCCACCAACATTACCACTATCACTACAGCAACCACCAACACTACCACTATCACTACAGCAACCACCAACACTACCACTATCACTACAGCAACCACCAACACTACCACTATCACTTCTGTGTACCTTTTCCCACTGCACTATCACACCAGCAACCACCACTCCCACTATCCCAACCACCACCACCACCTCATCAGACCACCATGAAGAAGCCGAAAATATACCACAGAAGGCGGCCTTTACTGACGATACTCACGGTGAGTTACCACTACCTAAAAGACTTGAGTGACGCACCAGGGAGGGAGAGAAGCACCAGAGAGGGAGTGACGGACCAGGGAAGGAGTGACGTACCAGGGAGGGAGAGAAGCACCAGGGAGGGAGAGAAGCACCAGGGAGGGAGTGACGCACCAGACTCCCATATTTATAATACGACAAAGGTTCAATTTCACCACTACACGACACAATTCGACATGACACGACAAACACAAGACGACTACACAGCACCACAACAACAAGTACGACCATGACTTACCTCTGGATGTACAGGTGAGGGTGGTGGATGATGTAGTGGGGAGGGAAAGTGAACACTCCTCCTCTCCCACCTGTGCCATTACCAACCCCTCTTCCTCTATTCCACTACCACTCTCCTCCACTAACCTCCCCTCTATACCACTAACCTCCCATCTATACCACTAACCTCCCCTCTATACCACTAACCTCCCCTCTATACCACTAACCTCCCCTCTATACCACTAACCTCCCCTCTATACCACTAACCTCCCCTCTATACCACTAACCACCCCTCTATACCACTAACCTCCCCTCTATACCACTAACCTCCCCTCTATACCACTAACCACCCCTCTATACCACTAACCTCCCCTCTATACCACTAACCTCCCCTCTATACCACTAACCACCCCTCTATACCACTATCCTCCCCTCTATTCCACTATACCATCACCTTCTTCCTCCTTTCCACCCCATACCACCACCTCTCCCACCCAGTTTAATACAATTTGGGTCTGTCAAAAAGAACCCTTAAAACTGTAATTAGGAAAGAACTTATTGATGAGTTTGACGCAAGTAGACAAGTGCAAACAGGCACTAGTCGATCCATAGGTTACCATGATGTGATGTATCAAGTGAAACATGTATATGGAGCAAGTAACAAGATCACTAGATTACAAAATCATTTATGGCTTGTAATTAAGGTTGAGATATAAGTACCTTTGGCAGTTATGTTCCTCAAGCAGATGTAAACAAAACTAAATGTAAGTGTGTGGCCAGACATGGCACACACTTATTACGATCTCGACTGTGTGAAGATAGAACCATTTAGGGACAGGTCCAAGCACACTGTGTGTGAAATGGCACAACACTTCATCTCTAATGGCAAGATAGCCGACATATTAAGATTGTATCCACTTTTTTGCACTTAGTAACTATATCAGTTCTCATGTATAGAACCAAATACACAATGTGCTTGAATACCTCTCACGTAAATGTGAATAACAAAGTGTGCGGCCAGACATACTGCCTCACACGCCTGTACTCACGCATTTGTGAATAAGTTACCCTTTATGTATAGAACTAAACAAATAATGTAAATGAAATACTGTGTAACATTCAGTGCCATAATATCCTGACAACGGGGATTAATTATTATGACCCTTTGTAAACTCTACTCTGTAATCCTTTTGCGCTACCGCTCACAGGATGAGTGTGGGATGCACAATAAAGTAGCCGCTGTAAGCGGCAAAATCAAAATCAATCCCACCCAGCCATCACCTTTCGTCATGCCTTCTCCTTTTCATACCCCCCCACCACCTGTGTTGGGGGGTTAGAGGTCAAGAGATCCTGTACAGGATATCCTCCCTCAGCCTCACACTCAGTCCTTCACGCCGCATACATACACGCACCTGGCGGCTCTTGTGTACTGTAGGTGACCAAACGTTGTGAACATTTAGAGAGAGATCACGCAGGCAGGCAGGCAGGCAGGCAGGCGCAGGCAGGCAGGCAGGCAGGCACACACACACACACACACACACACACACACACACACACACACACACACACACACACACACATCTTTCAACAATGAAGTGGTTGTGTCGTTATGCGCACCACAGCCCCTCCTGGTGATGCTCTCATGGTCTGGTACTTACACACACACACACACACATCATCTCTACACCTGCACACACACACACACATTCACCCTACACCTGCACACACACACACACAAACACACACACACACACACACACACATTCACCCTACACCTCACACACAGGAGTCTGAGGGAATGTCAAGGTCAGGAAGTGTCAGGGGTGTCAGGAAGTGTCAGAAGTGTCATGTGTGTCAGGAAGTGCCAGTGTGTCAGGAAAGTGTCGGGGGAAGTGTCAAGGTGTCAGGAAAGTGTCATGTGTCAGGAAGTGTCAAGTGTGTAGGGAAGTGTCAAGTGTGTCAGGAAGTGTCAAGTGTCAGGAAGTGTCAAGTGTGTCAGGGAAGTGTCAAGTGTGTCAGGGAAGTGTCATGTGTCAGGAAGTGTCAAGTGTCAGGAAGTGTCAAGTGTCAGGGAAGTGTCAAGTGTGTATCAAGGGGAAGTGTCAAGTGTGTCAGAAGTGTCAAGTGTCAGAAGTGTCAAGTGTGTCAGGAAGTGTCAAGTGTGTCAGGGAAGTGTCAAGTGTGTCAGGGAAGTGTCAAGTGTGTCAGGGAAGTGTCAAGTGTGTCAGGGAAGTGTCAAGTGTATCAGGGAAGTGTCAAGTGTGTCAGGGAAGTGTCAAGTGTGTCAGGGAAGTGTCAAGTGTGTCAGGGAAGTGTCAAGTGTGTCAGGGAAGTGTTAAGTGTGTCAGGGAAGTGTCAAGTGTGTCAGCGAAGTGTCAAGTGTGTCAGGGAAGTGTCAAGTGTGTCAGGGAAGTATCAAGTGAATAAGGCAGCATCATAGAAGACTAAAACAGTGTGTTGAGAGTCTTGTAATTAAGTGTGACGTGTTTGTATATAAGTGTGACGGGCATGGTGGTAGTAATGAAGGCACGACTCTGGTTACTTTAATACCCTCACTACCTAGCACGTCCCGCTTGTTAAGTGCGTCGGGAATATATAACTTACACTTGACATGAGGCGCATTATTTACAATTATGTATAACGACCATGTCTACTGACCATAATAAATGTATTTTGTTCTTATTTCAGTTAATTACTGTACTACACCCAAGGTCCGAGTCTTATAAAAGGTCCTACGTTTTAGTTTCCTCGTAAGTTAACTTGTAAGAAGACACCCGACTGTCTGACTAAGTTAAAGTACTTTATACGAGTCCACCTTAATTAGATACGTTCACTTAGCATCAGTTAGGAGACAAATGCAACCGACAGTTAACAAGACGTAAACCTGTACCTATACTGTATAAGGTTTATATAGGACGGTTCATATATCACCCTACACACGGGACAGAGAAACTAACCTAACCTAACCTAACCTCTACTTCCACACAACAGTCCAGTACTCGCCAACTTCAAGATAAACGGAGGAGAATGAAAAGAAAGACGTTTAAAAGTTGCACATCACCTGTGACAACACTATCCAGACCCTGATGTGTGTGTGTGTGAGAGAGAGAGAGAGAGAGAGAGAGAGAGAGAGAGAGAGATATTGGACAGGTAACAGAAAAACTCTGGGTGATAATGATCTTTTAAATACCAAAGATGTATAAATGAACATTAAATAATAATAATAATAATAATAATAATAATAATAATAATAATAATAATAATAATAGTAATAATAATAGTAATAATAATAATAATAATAATAATAATAATAATAATATAGTACTGAATAAATTGCAGTGATAGTAGTATATGATGCACCCACCCGCACCCACCTCTCACTCACCATACACCCACCCTCATCCCCGCGTGTGTCATCCACCTCTCACTCACGCACCCTCACCCCCGTGTGTCATCCACCCCTCACTCACCCACGGCAATGATTCACAGGAGCACGTTCGAACACCACCATTGTCACTAGTTCAAGGTACTGCTCCAGATGCCTCGCTCACACAAACCGCCCTCAGGGTTCAGGAAAGTAACAGGTGGTGACTGTAAGCTCACCTTGCATGTCTAGGTGACGAAACCACACCCTAACCTGCCACCTACAAGCACAACACTCACCTACAAACACTTATTCTGTATCTAACCATATATCTACCAGTCTATTTATCTATCCATCAGGTAAAATTCGCTTACAAGCATAACAAATCACCTTCAGGCAACACCTTTCATACCCAGGAGATGCTACCCACCAAGTGCCTGAAGGCGAGGCGACCAACCTGTTGGAGGAACCTGGAGGGGCAGAAGCAACACCTGGAGGACCAGTTTGTCAGGGAGGGGGGAGGGAGTGTGGTGAGGAGGGAAGTGGGAAGGAGTGTGGGGAGGAGGGATAGAGTGCAGGAGGGAGGAGGAGGAGTGAGTGGGGTGGGAGAGGGAGTGATTTTAGTGAGGAGGGAAGTGGGAAGGTGTGGGAGGAGGATGGGGTGCAGGAGGGAGGAGGGAGGGTAGTGGGGTGGGAAGGGAGTGATTTTAGTGAGGAGGGAAGGAGGGAACTTAAGACAGAGTGAGTTTAGGAAGGAGGGAGGGAAGGAGTTTAGGAAGGAGGGAGGGAAGGAGTTTAGGAAGGAGGAAGAGAGGGGAGGGAGTTTAGGAGGGAAAGAGGGACGGTCTGAGAGGGAAGGTCTGAGAGGGAAAGAGGGACGGTTTGAGAGGGAAGGAAGGAGTGAGAGGGAGGCAGGACCACACGCAGCTCCTCTCCACAAGTTCGCCTCATGCATAATGTAAAAGATTCCATAACGTCACACGGGCGAGGCGGTGAGTGCATGTAGTGAGGAGATGAAAGTGTGGTTAGGTTAGGTGAAGTCTGGTTAGGTTAGGTTAGGTCTGATTGGGTTACGTTAGGTTAGGTCTGATTGGGTTAGGTTAGGTCTGATTGGGTTAAGTTAGGTTAGGTCTGATTGGTTAGGTCTCGTTAGGTTAGTTCGTTAAGCCGTTAGGTTAGGTTGGGTTGTTGTTAGGTTCTGATTGGGTTAGGTCTGATTGGGTTAGGTCTGATTGGGTGAAGTCTGGTTAGGTCTGATTGGGTTACGTTAGGTTAAGTTAGGTTAGGTCTGATTGGGTTAGGTTAGGTTAGGTCTGATTGGGTTAGGTTAGGTCTTTTAGGTTAGGTCTGATTGGGTTAGGTTAGGTCTGATTAGGTCTGATTGGTTACGTTAGGTCTGATTGGGTTGGGTCTGAAGGTTAAGTTAGGTTAGGTCTGATTGAGGTTAGGTTAGGTTTGTTAGTTAAGTTGGTCTGATTAAGTTAGGTTAGGGTTGGTTAGGTTAGGTTGATTAGGTTAGGTTAGATTTAGGTTAGGTCTGATTGTTAGGTTAGGTCTGATTTAGGTTAGGTCTGTTTAGGGTTAGGTCTGATTTAGGTTAGGTCTGATTGGGTTAGGGTTAGGTCTGATTGAGTTAGGTCTTGGGTCTGATTGCTAGGTTAGGTCTGATTGGGTTAGGTTGGTCCTAGGTTAGGTCTGATTAGGTTAGGTTAGGTCTGATTGGGTTAGGTTAGGTCTGATTGGGTTAGGTTAGGTCTGATTTAGGTTAGGTCTGATTCTGGTTAGGTCTGATTGGGTTGGTTAGGTGTGATTGTTAGGTTCGGTCTGATTGGGTTAGGTTCGGTCTGATTGGGTTACGTTAGGTCTGGTTATTGGGGTTAGGTTAGGTCTGATTGGGTTAGGTTCGGTCTGTTGTTGGGTTCGGTCTGAAGGTTGGTTAGGTCTGATTGGGTTTAGGTCTGTTAGGTTAGGTCTGATTGGGTTAGGTTAGGTCTGATTGGGTTAGGTTAGGTCTGATTGGGTTAGGTTAGGTCTGATTGGGTTAGGTTAGGTCTGATTGGGTTAGGTTAGGTCTGATTGGGTTAGGTTAGGTCTGATTGGGTTAGGTTAGGTCTGATTGGGTTAGGTTAGGTTATACTCCACAAACCACCCAAAATCTCTACCCGACTCGATTCACCATCATCATCATCATCATCATCATCATCAACAACTCTCTCAAAACAAACACCAAGGTCCTATAACCCAGCAGTAGAAGGACAAGAGGCGGCATAACACAGGTGACGGTGATGCTGCCGAGGTAGAGTCACCACCAGCCAGTCACAGGTGTCACTGACCCGTTCATAACCACCACACAGGTGTATATCGTCAAGTAATTTGGTGTGAACAGTTGTCTTCTGATCTACCGATATATTAAAGTGTTCTGATCTACTAATATATACACGTTCTGATCTACCGGTCTACCGATATATGAAAACGTTCTGATCTACCGAGGTATGGACTAGCGTTCTGATCTACCAAGACAATAAACCAACCATCTTCTCTAAATATTCATCCAGCTCAGTTCAGCTCCGTCCCAAACCCACCGACTCATTAACGTCTCGGTACATCTCCGTATGTTAATGAGTAGTACATCAGGTGTCCGCCAGTTGGGTGCAATGTTTTGGTGAGTGTGTGCAGAGGGGCGGCTGGTGTTGGACGTGTTGGCCTTCTGGTGTTGGACGTGTTGGCCTTCTGGTGTTGGACGTGTTGGCCTTCTGGTGTTGGACGTGTTGGCCTTCTGGTGTTGGACGTGTTGGCCTTCTGGTGATTGGACGTGCTTCTGGTGTTGGACGTGTTGGCGGCGTTGTCTGGCGTTGTTCTGGTGTTGAACGGTGTTGGCCTTCTGGTGTTGGACGTGTTGGCCTTCTGGTGTTGGACGTGTTGGCCTTCTGGTGTTGGACGTGTTGGCCTTCTGGTGTTGGACGTGTTGGCCTTCTGGTGTTGGACGTGTTGGCCTTCTGGTGTTGGACGTGTTGGCCTTCTGGTGTTGGACGTGTTGGCCTTCTGGTGTTGGACGTGTTGGCCTTCTGGTGATTGGACGTGTTGGCCTTCTGGTGATTGGACGTGTTGGCCTTCTGGTGATTGGACGTGTTGGCCTTCTGTTGTCTGTTGTTGGACGTGTTGGCCTTCTGTTGTTGGACGTGTTGGCCTTCTGTTGTCTGGTGTTGGGACTTATTCGGCCACACCGTCTCTCCTAATTATGTTAATGTTGGGATCAAAGTTTTTTGTACATTTTGTTTTATTCTTCTCGGTGGTGACGTGTTCAAGAGTTCTCGTCTTCTTCATTTGGTTGTGGCGCGGCTGGTTTGGTGATGGTGCCATGGGTCGTGTCTACCATCACTGGGAGACGAAGGGTCGTTTCTTTGACACTCAGTTCAATGGTAGTAGTCAAAGGGTCGTTTCCATGGTACTCAGCCCAACAATGGTAGTCGGGAGGTCGTTGCCATGAGGTCAGGTTGCCACCAGCCGGGAGCAAGACACACACATACACACGCGCGCGCGTCGTCCAGGCCAGCAGCTCCCCTGACTCAGCTCATTACAGCACCACGCAAGCCTCCACCGCCCGACACAACACCTCTGTTTTGCCAACCAGCCAGTCTAAACGATCACCTTGTTGACTGGCTGGCCGACGCTACGTCAGTCAACAATTACTACAGCCAGTCTAGACGTGTACCCCGAGAAACAGACAGACAGGTGCAACGTCACCTGTCTGTCGAACTTTACTTATACAAGGGGAAAGTTAAGTCAAGTTTGGCTTGGTATCGAATACATTAGAGTACGTTAAGTTGGGTTGGACGCGGTTATTAGATCGGGTTTGGTAAGGTTAGATTTGGTTATTTTTAGTAAGATCAGGTCAGGGTGGGTTGTGTTGTGTTAGGTCAGGTTATATCATATCTGATAAGGGTACGGTAGATTAAAACAGGTTATAATTATTTAGAGGTATATTATATATTACGTTATAACTTACCGTATAATATATAACAACATATATATCAAAGTATGTACCTTAATTCACACACAGACATTATATATATATATATATATATATATATATATATATATATATATATATATATATATATATATATATATATATATATATATATATATATATATATATATATACCTTCCAGTGATCGATAGAAAATAATACTTATCAATTATAAAAATACACCTGAACTGAACAACAATTTATCATACCCTACTTACAGGTAACGTTGAACAAAGAACATCACTTTCCAAAACTTCAATGATAGTTTGTAAAAGTTCAGCCAATAAAAAACTAACAATGATTAAAAGACAATGAGAGTTAACAATGAGGATGAAATAGTGGGTAATAGATTAAGTTTAGGTGTATGTCAAGAGGAGAGTGAACCTTCTTGTTAACTTTCATTATTCTCTATGACACAATAAGCGACGAAATGGTTATTGAAAGAAGGCATAATGGCTAATGAAAGAAGACATAATGGCTAATGAAAGAAGACACAATGGCTAGTGAAAGAAGATATAATGCCTAATGAAAGAAGACATAATGGCTAGTGAAAGAAGACATAATGGCTAGTGAAAGAAGGCATAATGGCTAATGAAATAAGACATAATGGCTAGTGAAAGAAGACATAATGGCTAATGAAAGAAGACATAATGGCTAGTGAAAGAAGACATAATGGCTAAAGAAAGAAGACATAATGGCTAATGAAAGAAGACAATGGTTAGTGAAAGAAGGCATAATGGCTAATGAAATAAGACATAATGGCTAGTGAAAGAAGACATAATGGCTAATGAAATAAGACATAATGGCTAGTGAAAGAAGACATAATGGCTAATGAAAGAAGACATAATGGCTAATGAAAGAAGGCATAATGGCTAATGAAATAAGACATAATGGCTAGTGAAAGAAGACATAATGGCTAATGAAAGAAGACATAATGGCTAATGAAAGAAGACATAATGGCTAATGAAATAAGACATAATGGCTAGTGAAAGAAGACATAATGGCTAAAGAAAGAAGGCATAATGGCTAATGAAATAAGACATAATGGCTAAAGAAAGAAGACATAATGGCTAGTGAAAGAAGGCATAATGGCTAGTGAAATAAGACATAATGGCTAGTGAAAGAAGGCATAATGGCTAATGAAATAAGACATAATGGCTAGTGAAAGAAGACATAATGGCTAATGAAAGAAGGCATAATGGCTAATGAAAGAAGACAATGGCTAGTGAAAAGACATAATGGCTAAAGAAAGAAGACATAATGGCTAATGAAAGAAGACAATGGTTAGTGAAAGAAGGCATAATGGCTAATGAAATAAGACATAATGGCTAGTGAAAGAAGACATAATGGCTAATGAAAGAAGACATAATGGCTAATGAAAGAAGGCATAATGGCTAATGAAAGAAGGCATAATGGCTAATGAAATAAGACATAATGGCTAATGAAATAAGACATAATGGCTAGTGAAAGAAGACATAATGGCTAATGAAAGAAGACATAATGGCTAATGAAAGAAGATATAATGGCTAATGAAAGAAGACATAATGGCTAATGAAAGAAGACATAATGGCCAATGAAAGAAGACAATGGCTAATGAAAGAAGACATAGTAAAGTGAAGACCAAAAACGATTAGGTTAGTTAGATATCCTCAAAATGGTTAATGTTCATGATATGGTAAACGTTATTCTCGGGTTATGTGTCAAATTTAATGGTATATATCAGTGTCACGTAAGCGTATACAGTGTTATATTAGCGGGGAACACTGAGAGGTCAGGTAAGGGTGGCAGGTTGTGGTGGGCAGGTTGTGGTGGACAGGGTGGGGTGGCAGTAGGTGGGGTGGCAGAGTGGGATGGCAGAGCGGGGTGACAAGGTGGGGTGGTAGAGTGGGATGGTAGAGTGTGGTGTGGGATGGTAGAGTGTGGTGGCAACGTAGGATGGGAGGAGTGTGGCGGCAAGGTGGGGTGGTAGAGTGGGGTGGCAGAGTGTGGTGGTAGAGAGGGGTGGCAGAGTGGAGTGGCAGAGTGTGGTGGTAGAGTGTGGTGGTAGAGTGGGTGGCATAGTGTGGTGGTAGAGGCAGAGTGTGGTGGCAAGTGAGGGGTGGTAGGAGCAGGATGGCAGTGTGGTGGGCAATGTGGTGTGGCAAAGTGGGGGTGGCAAGGTGGGGTGGTAGAGGGATGGCAGAGTGTGGTGGCAGAGTGTGGTGGCAGAGTGGGATGGCAGAGTGTGGTGGTAGAGGTGGCATAGTGTGGTGGTAGAGTGTGGTGGCAGAGTGGGGTGGCAGGGTGGGGTGGCAGAGGGGTGGCAGAATGGGGTGGCAAGGGGTGGAGCGGTAGAGGGATGGCAGTGTGGTGGCAGAGGGATGGCAAATGTGGTGGCAAAGTGGGGTGGCAAGGTGGGGTGGTAGAGTGTGGTGGCAGAGTGGGATGGCAGAGTGTGGTGGCAGAGGATGGCAGAGGTGGTGGCAGAGTGGGTGGTAATGTGGAGGGCAAAGCAGGGTGGCAAAAGTGGGGTGGCAGAGGGATGGCAGAGTGGGATGGCAGAGGGGTGGCAAGGTGGGATGGCAGAGTGGGGCAGTAGAGTGGGGTGGGTGAGTGGGATGGCAGTGTGGTGGTAGAGGGGGTGGCAGAGTGTGACGGCAAGGTGGGGTGGTAGAGGGTTGTGACAGAGTGGGGTGGCAGTGTTATGGCGGAGGGGTGGCAAGGTGGTGGGGTGACAGAGTGGGGTGGCAGAGTGGGGTGGGCAAGGTGGGGGTGGCTGAGTGTGGTGGCAGGGGTGTTGTGGCAGAGAGGGTGGGCAGAGGGATGGTAGAGTGGGTGGCAGAGTGGATGGCAGTGTGATGGCGGAGTGGGTGGCAAGGTGGGGTGGCAGAGTGTGGTGGCAAGGTGGGGCGGTAGACTGATGGCAGGGTAGGGTGGCAGGGGTAGGTGGCAAGGTGGGGTGGTAGAGTGTGGTGGCAAGGTGGGGTGGCTGTGTGGTGGCAGAGTGGGATGGCAGGGTAGGGTGGCAGGGTAGGGTGGCAGGGTAGGGTGGCGGCAGATTGGGAAGGCAGAGTAGCTGACTAGGGTGGCAACAGTGGGTGGCAGACTAGGGTGGCGACAATGGGTGGTAGACTAGAACTAGTGTGGTGACAGTGGGTGGTAGACTAGAACTAAGGTGGCGACAGTGGGTGGCAGACTGACTGACACACCACACCAAGTACCTAATAAGGAGAACTGGTGTATGGTAAACAGCTCGGGGTGGCAAGGAGGGGGGCTTCCTCGAGGTCTCCATCAACACACAATATTATCTTATCGATTATCTTTATTATTACTACTTCATTTATTTACTATTTTCATGTTTGTTTAAGACTTATGTGACTTTCACTTGTTGGTTCTGAGAGAGAGAGAGAGAGAGAGAGAGAGAGAGAGAGACGTCGCTTGAGCCCATAACATAACACCTGGCTAACAGGGGTCATTACTGAAACACAACAAGGTAAGTTAATTGAAAGTAATGATTAGCTTCCCCACAGGTAACCCCTACACAGGTGTCCCCCACACAGGTAACCCCCCACACAGGTGAGTCAGAGCGAACAGCGGACATCCTTGACCTAGTTTACTGGGGCAGGTAGGAAACACGCTCAGATAAGACCTCCTACCCTCCCTCCCTCCCTCCCTCCCTCCTCACTCACTCACTCACTCCCTCCCCTCCCCAATCCTTAGTAGCGTCGCCAGGGAGGATATGAAAGGAAGGACGTGGGAGGGAGGAGAGGGAAGGAGGTAACTGGAGGCTGAATGACCCTTGATCCCTAGCCCTCCCTCCCTCCCTATAGATGACATGGAAGGGAGAAGGGCTTGGTAGAGGGACCTTGACTACCCCCACCCCCCCTTCACCATCTGTCTAGAATTCATCAGCATCTGAGGACAAAACAGACAGACAGACTCACCTGGAAGAATTAGCATCAAGACAAGAGTAATGTTGATCTTGAGAATTATTTACCTGAACTAATTAATAAATCACCTGAAGATCACCCAAGTTTATATCACCTGATGATTAAACACCCTAACACTATCTAGAGAGAGGGGGAGGAGGTTAGGTTAGGTTAGGTTAAGTGAGCCTGGTTAGGTTAAGTGAGCCTGGTTAGGTTTGGTTAAGTGAGCCTGGTTAGGTTTGGTTAAGTGAGCCTGGTTAGGTTAAGTTAAGTGAGCCTGGTTAGGTTTGGTTA